TACAGATTTTAAATAGACACGCCTCATGTCATTTTTGCGTAACAATATAACAATATGCGACCTAATACAAAGCCCAACAAAATTTTCTACCAACACGTTATTTTAGAGCTTGAAGGAAATAAATATAATTCATGTTTACGTAGTTGCAGCCAACTATCTTTTCGTACAATTAGTAATGTTCATATCTTGTCTTCAAAAACACTTTCTCATAGGTTGACACTGCTCAATGTACTACAACAATACAACTTTTAGCTGTACCTACAGTTAAACAAATTGTTTAACAAAAGATATTTTCGTGAAAAGGTTTTCTCTATGAATTTGCGTAGTTTGAATTATTGAACTACTATATTAGTCTGCTAACTAGTGGAATCTTCCAAAAAATAGTGTGATGCAGTAAACTGTGCTACAAATCATGGGCAGACTTGGAACATTGTTTTGTTAAGTGTGCGATTGTCAGAAGGATTGAGACGGTAGCCTTATATGTCTTATCAAACGCGAAGATGAGCCAGAAACTCGCGTTGGCGTCTCCAGTCGGTGTATTCAACAACAGTGGTACTGAATAACATGGTTGATTCCTCCGTCTGTGAATCGGTACAACATAAAAGGGAAACGCGGCTTCACGGTGAAAGTTGAGAGTTTCTTGTGCCTGGTTTCACCACAAGGGCTGAGGACTGAATGCTACAACAACAAATTTTACGTCCCGCAAAGAATGGTAAGATGTCCGAAACTTGGAGCGTGCATGCCAAGTAGAAAGCTCACAAGGAATGAGCAAACACAAGACGAGCGCAGACCAACTGTCACAGCTCGGCACTTGAATGGCGGTGCTCAAACAGAAATGCACACGAAACTATTGCACAAGTGTGCACAGGACGAGTGCGAGTTGTCTTGCTTCTTCGTTTGTGAGTAGCTTGCTCTTTTCGTAAAGCCAGCCAAGACAGTTAGCGAAGTCACGATCGAGGTCTTTTTAACCACTTCAACTTAAAAGGAAACCTAAGGTGAGAGCAAAAAAGGTACAAAGTGGCAAAACCAGCTGAACCACGATAAAATATATGCGCACGATAACCGCCCTGTGAAGATGCGCGCGTATGACAACGTGCGGGGCTACGACCTTTATAGTTCGCCCAACGCATGCCCGTCGTGCCTTCTTGCTACTGGTGAGAAAATTGCGTTGAAGTTGCTGAGCTCTGAGGACCAACATCCTATGATTTATGGTTCATATAAGTCGTTCGCCATTAGCAAGCTCGAAAACGTACGTACCGTGGTCGACAACGTACGTACCGGTACGTACGTACCACGCAAGGTACAGTCGGGTGTGATTTGAAGGTTATCACGCGAGCGTCGACCGGCTAAGCATCCAGAGGCCCTAGCGGAACGTTTAGGAAGAATAAAAATCAAGATTTTGCTTTCTTCTCTCCCTAGTTGGCTGTTCTAAGCTACGACAATCACCCTGTTGACGAACTCTCCCCCCTCCTTTCCCTCTATTTTAAGTGTTCCAATATTTGCGATCAAGCGTAACTCATTAGGGCGTTATCTTTCTACACGACAACAACGTTGGTGGGAAAGCTCTTGTCAACCTTCGTTTGAATGACTTGCTATGTCGCGCAAAATATAACCATCGCATCGTAATACTGACTTCACCAGCCAATAGAATTGTGCCAAACGTTTTTGCACAGGGGTGTCAATGCTGCAATGCTGGATGTGACCTTAGACCACATGTCACAAGAAAATGCTTCGACGGCTTATACCAGAGGAACGCCGTGAAATTATTGCTTTGGAAAGATTTATGTCCGAGCGAGAGATTTCCTGTAAGATGAACCGGCCACAGAAGACAATCAACCATATTCTTTGAGCATTTTACCAGGAAAGCCACTTAGAAGATGAAACATACCAAAGGAGGCCTAGAAAAACAACTGAGGAGGAAGATACCTTGATAATAGCTGCCGTGGTCAAAGACCCTTTTTCGACAACAAAGAAAATTAAAGAAGAGCTTGGACTCTCCCTCTGTCTTTCGGCTATGCGAAGATGTCCTGCTGCCGGTCTGAAAAGCAACGTGGCGGCTAGAAAGCCGCTTTTGACCAGTGAACATTGAAGGAAACGTTGATGGATTGATTGATTTGTGGGGTTTAACGTCCCGAAACCACCATTTGATTATGAGAGACGCCGTAGTGGAGGGCTCCGGAAATTTTGACCACCTGGGGTTCTTTAACGTGCACCAAAATCTGAGCACACGGGCCTACAACATTTCCGCCTCCATTGGAAGTGCAGCCGCCGCAGCCGGGATTTGAACCCGCGACCTGCGGTTCAGCAGCCGAGTACCTTAGCCACTAGACCACCACGGCGGGGCATCGAAGGAAACGTTTGGACTTCGTGCGTCAGCACGAACATTGGAGGGCTGAAGACTGGCAACAGGTCATCTTCAGTGATGAATCGACGTTCATCTCTTGCTGGAACCTGCGACTTCGTATTTGGACAGTCCGTGGGAGCTGGTGAGGTTTAAATTGCTTGTGCATAATTTCACACAGAGAGCGGTCCAGCACCACTCTTAGGTTTAGAAGCGTACTCATAATCATCATAACCCGCAGCAGCGTCACCCTGACTAACCTCACTGCAGCAAAATTATCTCCCATACTACTCTAGATAACCCGGTCCTGTTGCCGGCCATGGTATCGTAATTCACTCGAGCTTTCTAATCTCATCCGTCGCACTTATTTTTTGTCGTACCAAGCTGTGCTTGCCTTTTCTTGCAATCCACTCTGCTACCATTCATTACAATTGATTATCCTTCTCCCTCATTTCGTGTCCGGCCCACTTCCCTATTTCAACTAGTCAGTAACTCACGTTTTTCTCTGACTCACTATGTCATTTTGTGGCTCGACGAAAGGGTTTTTGCATAGTTACCACGCTGTGAATGTTTTGCGCAGAAAATGGATTTATCGCTTTTATTGCAGGTACGAGAATGAAAACATTCGCAGCGTCGGTGCAAGCGGGCGTGTATCGGTCAACGTCTGGGGCGCAATAACATATGCCGGTCTGGCTCCGCTCTTCCGCCTCCCCGGAAGACTTACGGCCACAGTCTGCAATGAGATCATCAACGATGTTCTCCTTCCTTTCGCCATCAATTGACCATTTCCTGACGGATGCTTTTATTTCCAACACGATGGCTGCCCTGTTCACAATGCATCCACAGTGAGAGAAAATTTAAAGGCTTCTGCCATTTCACCGCTCTGCTGGCCTCCTAAAAGCTCCGACCTCAGTATCATCGAGAATGTTTGGGGACTAATGAAGGCACGATTAGCTCGCGCCAATTTGACAAACAATGACGCAGACACTTTGTGGAATCATGTTGAGATGGAGTGGAATGCTCTCAGACAAGACCCGGATTTTGTGTAATCTATGTTTTCTTCTATCCCGAAAAGGCTAAACGACGGGAAGGAGAGCTCGGGTGGCATATCGAAGTATTGAATAAGTTGTAAGCACTAAATGTACTGTAACAGTGAGTTTAGAGAGACCCGTGAGTTTTTTCGTCCCCAATGAAGAATATTGGATATTAATTTCTGTAGTGTCTGCAAAAAACATCTCATTTTTCACATGTTCCTTTGTTATGACGATATAAGATAAGTCATGCTCTCTCGTCCAAAAATCGCGATGCTCTGAGTCCCTCAAACTTCTTGACGACCGTGAACCAAAAATAAATCATGTTTCAAACAATCCTTCTTTTTTTTGTCAAATAGGCAACTCTGCTAAACAAAAAGCAAAGTTAAAACTGAAGAGAGCCCGCACCTTATGTAGCCATTGCGGGCAGTGTTTGCCACGGCAGCAGTGACGTAATGCACACGCTAGATGCAGCCTTCATGTCATCAGATTACTGATAATAGCAAAGATTGCGTTGCATGAAATACCATCTCCTTCTATTATCGGAAGGCAGTAAAGAAAAAAAAGAAATAAAAACACCTTCCCTGTACGGGAGTGACAGCAGCTTCAGGAACAGCAAAAAGAGTGAGGAAAGCTTGCCTACTGCTTCCCTCTCCTTAAAAAAAATTCTGGGCCGTGGCGCTGTTCTCGCTCTTGGTCGATGCTCGCGCGATTACCTTCATATCACACCCGACTGTACGTACCGTACGTGCCGTGATAACACTGAGTGCTGCACTGCGAAAACTTATAGGTTTGATGCCCAACCCTAAACTTATTCATTTTTTTTTCTTTAGGATATGGTATGTAGTATATATTACCAACACCATATTTGTGACGGAAATAAGCCAGTGGAGTCGTGGTGGACCCCTGGATAAAACACGTTCATGTTAAAAATCAGCGTAACGTGATGACGTCACCGTAATACGCCATCTTTAGATCACGACTTGTCATAGTGAGTGAGAGAAGTGACGTCACTTGACGTAATGTCACGTGACGACGTCATTACAAAACATCGTAGTATCGTCTGAGGTGGCTGGTCAAGACGCAGTTTCAAAGTACTTGATTAACCGCCTCTTTTGGAAAATTTGCTTTTGGGGGATTGGCACGTCTCTGCTCTGTGTTTCTGTTTCTACTGCTCTGCTTCTTCCTTTTTCAACGTTTTGTGGCTTTTGTAGTTTTCTTTTGAAGGAAGGGGAAAAATGAAGTTAGGCTCATAAAAGTTTCAAAAGAAGATGGCACAGCAACTCAATAGACTGAGAAGAAAAAATATTCTCGCTATCCCCTTCTACTCGTCTTAGTTGATAGCGGACCCTGCCAATTTCGTTTAGGTACGGGCCACAAGGGTCACGCTTGATATCGCGAAGTGTTTGCATGCGGATATGACAAATGCCCTTCGTTTTCCTAGATGGCACACTCAAGCTCTTTCCAAGAACTAAGATGCAACATTGAAATCTTGGGTGTATTACTGTGATCTGAAGCCTTTCGAATGTTTTCTTCCTTATAATTTAGCTTTTATTGCTAATTTTTACATCGGGCAATTGTTATCGTTTTTTACTAAAGCTGATTGCATAACATTGTCTTATTTGCAGTGATACTTTTTTCTTCGTGGGAACAGCACAAATGGTTCCAATAGTAGACATAAATGCCCGCTTTGGTAAGCTCACCTGTGCCTTTTTTCATGAGTGGTATTAGTTCCCAGGTACTTAGTTGTGTGCCAGATATGTTGCATTTTTGTGCAGTGTCAATAAAACTTTTCAGCGTGAACGGAGCAGGTTTCGCCCACTTCTGTATATAATTGACCAGTCACCACCAGAGATTAATCTGAATATATGAGTTTGAGACAATCAATGAATGTTTTGTAAAGCTTTGCCGCTGCTCCAAAAACACCATGCGAAAACGTTTTGGCAAGCGTATGTGAATTCTCCCAAAACTAGGGAAGTTTTCGCAGTAAATAATGATCTTGGACTTTAATAAAGCCCACCGTGGCTGGCAGGTGTCGCGGGGTTAGCGCCGCGAAGGGGCATGGGCATGCAAGAACTGACACGCAGAAGCTGGCTCCCGGGACAAAATTGGGTTCCCCTTCATTATTAGGACTGACTTATATAGGTATACACAGAAAGTACAGGGAGCGCCACGCTCCGTTGGTAGCCTAATCAAAGCACTGGAAGGTGGCGACCTCTACAATTCTCCCCTTGAATCTATGCATTAAATGTCTGTTGAGATGGAGGAAGCCTGACACAAAGAGTTCCACAAATTCACATGGCGCGGCGGAACAACGCGTTGGTCGTAACGTGTTCGCGTCACACTGCTGTCCCTGGCCACAGCAGACCGTTGCCCCGACTGCCCGTGGTGGGTTGATGATTCTGCGAGGTCAGCAGGCTGAGGTTGCTCAGAGGGAACATGCTGTGGTGGTTGTGGTGGTTCTCGTGCAGCTGTCTTTGGTGGTTCTTTTCGGGCAGCAGCTGGTGTAAAATGCACTAGGTGACGGCGGTTGCGCTACAGGACTCCACCTCGCTCTGTTTCGACCACGTAGCTTCGTGGCCTTTGCCCTGGACTGAAGACTCAGCGTTTTACTTTTTCGGGTCGCACCCAGACAAGCTTACCGGTTTGGAGCGGTGGCAGATCTCGTGCTCTGTGATAAGCACTGAAGTTATCTGTCTGCTTGATCTTGTAAGCTGCATCCTTGGAGGCCACGTATTTTTCCGACAGCCAGTTGGGACGTAGCTTGAATTCTTGTTTCGGCACCTTGGTCCGGAGTTGGCGTCACGTAAACAGCTGGGCTGAGCTCACGGCATAAACTCTTGGAGTATGCCGAAAGCTGAACAGAGCTGGATGAGGGTCGCTTGACTTGCGGAACAGGTCCTTGACTGTACGAATCATCCTCTCTGCCTCTCCATTCGATCGAGCATAGTCTGGACTAATTGTCGCATGTTTGAAGCCGTACGATGCTGCAAATGATACAAACTCTTGCGACGATATAGGTGGGCCGTTGTCTGGCCTGACCTCTTGCGGGATTCTGTTTCTGGCAAAGATGCTTTTAAGAGCGTCTAAGACTGCCTCAGCTGTCGTGCTTCTCAGGTAACTACTTCAGGGAACCTCGAGTAATATTCCACCGCCAGGATAAACGTCTGGGCATTGAGGTGGAATAAATTCATTCCAAGATATTTCCAGAGAGGTCCAGGTAGAGCCGTGGAGAACAGGGACTCCGCAAGGTTCACGCGGGTGAAGGCACACTGTTCGCAATAGGCTACGAAAGAGCCGACTTCTGCAAAGATGCCCGGCCACCAAACCAATTCCCGAGCTAGGGTTTTGGCCCTGTTGATGCTCTGATGACCTTCGTGCAACACCGTGGAAACCGCCGGCTGAAGGGAGGATGAGATGAACATACGAGGACCTATGAGCAAAACACCATCGCATACTGAGAGCTCATCTACCACAAAGACATACTTTCAAAGGTGCAGTGGCATCTTTGACTTCTTTGGCCAACCCTGCTGGGAGAAAAAAATGAGAGTATTGCACTGTTCATCGAACTCTGGTGCCTGTCTTATGTCTTCGTGGCTCAGTGGCAAGATATCTGACGTTCAGCCGACAACTTGGGCTGCAAAGAGTTCCACTATGTCGAGGGGAGTGGATGCCTTGATGATCCGTGACAAGGTATCTGCTGTCGCCATCAGTTTTTGCGGCACGTGTAGCATGCGAAATTGGTATAGCATTGTCCTGAGTTACAGTCTCTGAATACGAGGCGGCAAGATGTCCAGCTCCATCTTGCCCAGGAGTGGAACAAGCGGCAGGTGGTCAGTCTCGACGTCAAAGTTGTTGCCGCGGACAAACTCGTCAAACCTTTGAACAGCACATGTCGTTGCCAAAGCCTCTTTTTCAGTCTGGCTGTAACGCTGTTTGGTCTCAGTCAGTGACCTGGAAACAAATGCTGCAGTGCAGCGCTCCCCCGAGAGTTGCATGTGTAGCAATACTACACCAAGTCTAAACGAGCTGGCGTCTGCAGACTCTATGGAGGCGTATGACGGATGGTACTTAGCCATGCACCTGTCTGATGGGGAAAGTTTCATAATTTTTATAGCAGCCTTTTGTTCATGCTGCCACACCCAACTTGCGGACTTGCTCAATAAGGCTCTGATGGGTGCTGTGACGTCCGAGATATGTGGTAAAAATCTGGCGAGGTAATTTGCCATTCCGAGCAGTCTTCCAACGCCGGCGACGTCAGTTGGAGTTTCTATGGCTTTGACTGCTTCGATCTTGCTTGTATCTGGCCTGATGCCCTGTGCTGAGACAACAACTCCGAGGAAGGAGACCTCAGATACCCGAAAAATTGTCTTGGTTCAAGACAAGTGTCTTGGTTCAGTGTGATGCCTGCTTTTTCAACGCGGGGCAGCACCTGACTCAGTCTAACGTCATGCTCTTGGTGGGTGCGCTCAAAAACCAGAACGTCATCAATTATATTGGCAACTGCATCTTGCCCTCCAGGATTATTGACACCTGCTCGTCAGTAGTCACGCTTGTCTAGCGCGCCTCGCAAGCATGGATGGGGCGAGAAGAACGTTATATTCGTCTTTGCGCAGGTGTGCAATGTTTTCTTTGTCCCGAAGGTTATTTACGGGTGTTAGGTACTAAATTGCAGGTATGATAAAGATGAGGCTGTGCATAGAGTATTTGCACCTTTCATGCGAGGGCAATTTTTTTCTCTTTTCAGTATATGTTAGGATAATGCATTTGTTGGTACGCCAACTTAAGCCCTGGTTTCTCTTTTACGCATTGGTAGATTATTCACACATTTACACCACGCCTGCTCTTAGTTTAGCTAACTGAAGGTCGACCTAGAAAAGGTGTTGTGGCCTTCGACTTCGATAGAGCATTCACTCAGGCCTAGAGGACTAATTTGAACATTATATTGCAGTATTAGCTAATAAGGGCGTAGAAAAATACTGCCTCATGTCTTCTTTTTTGCCGATGTGAACACAGATATGTGCCAAGTCGTAGTATCAACGCGAACTTTAAGTTTAAAGTGCAAATACGACACGAACACCCCGCCGTGGTGGTCTAGTGGCTAAGAGACTCAGCTACTGACCCGCAGGTCGCGGGATCGAATCCCGGCTGCAGCGGCTGCATTTATGATATAAGCGGAAATCTTGTAGGCCCGTGTGCTCAGAATTGGGTGCACGTTAAAGAACTCCACGCGGTCGAAATTTCTGGAGCCCTCCACTTCGACGTCTCTCATAATCATATGGTAGTTTAGGGATGTTAAACTCCACATATCAATCAATCACGACACAAACAAAGAGAGGCAATACACACACACATGGAGCGCCACTTCTAACAATGATTTATTGTGAAAGAATACACGACATACACACCACGCACGCCATCACCGTGCCTCAATGCGCACTCACATTCAAGTAGTGCAAGTGCTTTGGCGATAACAAAATGGAGGCTACGCTGACGCATAGATAACCTAGTTCAATTATTTTCTTGGCGTCAATAATAGGTTGTAGTAATTTATCAGTTCGACTAATCAGTAGGGCTATATATGTTCTGTACACTTTCGAAATAAATCGTTGTTAGAAGGGGCACTCCATGGGTGTGTTGTCTCTTTTCGTCCGTGTCTTATTCATTCCTTAAACGTGAAGTATGGTAAACTAACAAGCCCTGTCTCCCAGTCTTAAACCAAAAGAAGTTACAAAAATAGAGTAAGGGAGGTAGAGATAACAATTCAATGATCCCAACCAGGAGTGCAGGTAGTGTGGTATGACTGCTTCTCAGCTCGAGATTCAGAAATACCTGATCTCCTAGTCTGGATCTCCCAAATTCCTTATCTTCCGCACAAGCTCGGTAATTTGTGACTAGTTTTTTGGTCAGCAGTCTTGCGTCATAAAAAGTGCTAAAGTGTCCTCTAGACTTTTTACTGCTGCAGTAAATGTCGCAAGTAATACAAGGTGCAAAAAAAAACTTTATATTGGTTTTATTCATTGAAATTGCTTTTATTCATCGAAATAAAATGTAAGCGCTGAATGAGTGATATAGCGTTTAGTTTTAAAATCGGAATTGTGACTGGACGGCATCTTCAAGGGTTGGTTCTAAAAAAAAGGTGAGATAAGGCAATTGCTATCAGATTTATGTGTCGCACTTCACAAACTTGAGCTGCTCAAGTGTTAACTGCTCTATATGCAGGAACCTTTGTAGTAAGGAATTATTGTAGTGCTTCTCAAGCTGCCTACACGCACAACAGCAGCCGCACTCCCCACTCCCGCCCTAGAACAGAGCTAACGTATGTCAGTTTGGCGCGTGGGTTTTTTTTCTTCGGGAATCAGGTTGGCGCCGTTGCGGCCATGGTTACGTGGGCTTTTCTGCTTCAGGTGGCTTCCAGAACCAATGCTTTCATATGTTTATTCACTATTTGTCTGTACCGAGGAGGAGCACACACAGGTCATCGTGTATGACTTTGTGCTGCGCTGACCCAAACAATTTCGCCAACAGAGTCACTGGGCGAAGGTGCTCGTGTGTGACAGGGGAGACAGTACTGCAAAACAGGGGAGGAGCAGAGGAGTAGGAAGTGAGCTCCGAGCGAATAAAAGCATCCCGCCAGCGTTATTACACACCACAACTTGGAGAA